TCAAGGCCATCCACAGCTACAAAGTGAGTTTGAAGCCACTACATTTGACCCTGTCTCAAAAGACTCTGTCTTAAAACACACAAATTAGAACATTTATGTACCAATTTACAAAAATTTTAAAACTCCAATCCAGCATGCTTTTTTTTTTTTTTTTGGTTTTTCGCGACAGGGTTTCTCAGTGTAGCTTTGGAACCTATCCTGGCACTCGCTCTGGAGCCCGGGTTGGCCTCGAACTCACAGAGATCCTCCTGCCTCTGCCTCCTGGGTGCTGGGATTAAAGGCATGCGCCACCAACGCCCAGACGAAAGGGGTCATTCTTATCTCTGGCAAGAGGAACTTGTGACCCTGCCATTGACATATGACCCATGCCTAGGAAGGTCAATGCTAGCTTCTTCAATCCCTGATCTCAGACCACAACTTGGATCACATTCCTCCACACCCCACCACACCCCGTTTAATCTTATGTGCAATTATAGATTATAAAAGGTACATTCCTGTTTTCAATAAAGTCTCAGCAGCCGATTCACCCTCAGATCATGTCAGTCTCCGCCTTTCCCCTTGCTATCTCCACACACCCTCTTTGGGATCTGAACCACCCCACAAAGCACCCCAACCCCCACCCCCAGCCCGCCCCACCCGCCCCCCGCCCCTAGCCCAGCACCCACACGGTGACTCCAGTTCCAGAGGATCCAGCATCCTTTTCTTACCGCTCTGGGCACCGGGCTCACAAGTTGTGAAGATAAATATATGTAGGCAAAGCAGACACACAAAATAAATAGATACAAACAAAAACTTGCTTTCTGAGTCAAGTTCTAGGAGACTCAGAAAAGTTTATAGATTTCCTTTAAGGTCAGGTGTGAGTCATGATTTTTTTTTTTTTTGAGACAAAGTCTCAGATAGCCCAGGCTGGCTCAAACTTGCTTTGCGGCCAAACCGCGGCCAAACCTGGTCTTGAACAGCTGACCTCCTAAATGCTGGCATTACAGGTATCTCCTACCAAGCCTGATTTTTTTTGTGTGTGAAACAGGATGAAATGTCAAAGTCTAATCTGTCCCTATGGGGATATATATTTGTGAATGAAGTTTTTTATGTAGAGGCAGGAAAAGCAAGATAAGCTCTTCAATGCCCTTTCAAAGATGCATGAGTTTTAAGAAAAAAAAAAAAAGTTTGCTCTAGGGTAGATAAAAAAGCAAAACCCAGAGGGTCACCCAAGGCACTGCGGGGGCGGGGCTTGTGAGTGTTGTGACGCCATGGGCGGGGCCTGGCTGTCCCTTCTGCTTTTAGTCCCGCCCACGGGCCTTTGGGCTCCCTGTTGCTGTTGCGCCGCTGCTGGCTGCTGTCCCAGGTGAGTCCCTGAAGTGAAAGGGAACGATTGGGCCCTTGGTTCCACCCAAATTCGGACTTCTGGGCCTTGCGACGGGACCTCGGGCAGGCCACGGTGTAGGGGGCTTCAGCTTCACCTCAGTCCGTCTTGGGGGGCGTGGGTCGGCGAGGGTGGCTCCGGGAGGGCCTGGAGCGCCTTCCGCGCGCGGCCTGGGAGGCCCGGGCCGACTCTTCCAGAGAAGGGAGGGGCTGCGGGGTCACGGGACTTGTGACCCGCGGGAGGACAGTCGTCTCTGACAGGAGCCAGGGTCCTGGCGCAGTGGCCCTGTGTTAGGCTCGCCGTGGCACCCGGTCCCGCCGCCCCTGGTCTCCGGGGTTCTGAACACCCAGCTTCTCCTGTGTCACCACTGCGGGCTGCGGGCTTTCAGCGCCCCGATGCGTCACCCTGACCAAGTTACTTTCTCTTTAGGTCCTTGTTTCCCTCTGTACCAGCGAGTTTCCATTCTCATTCCAACACCAATCGACGTGTTAACAACATTTTTCTGTCATTTGAATTCTTTGCCCTAGATGCAAATCAACAAGTGGCCATGGATGGAATTTAGGAGGATAATTTGAGTGTCATATATTAACTTACCTATTATACTTATTGTCATTTTGCAGAACCCACATATAACAAAGGACTTAACTCACTAGGTCTTTGTGGCTTATGTACCACACACGATTGGGGGGATGCCTAGGTCGCTTATTTTTTCAAGTACCGTCAGGAGTTCTGAAACTCTACCTTATAGCAAGCAGGACAGCTGCCAAGCAGCAAAAACCTTGAAAGGACAGGGGATCCTAAGTTACCCGACACTAGCAAGTTACACTTTTTTTTTTTTCTTTAATACAGGGTTTCTCTCTGTAGCTTTGGATTCTGTCCTGGAAATGCTTCCCCTGGCACTGCTGTGGTGGTGTGATATGTAGCACAAGGGTTTGCTCAGACCAAATATACAGCCATTTCTAACAGTCTGTCTAAAAGGCCCCTAGTGGTATAGTTTTGTCTTATGTCTTCATGGCATGAGAATGAACTTAGGAAACGTGAACAGGAGTGAGTGGCTAAATAACCTCAGGAGGAGTGGTTGTGTTCTTGGCTGTGCTCCTTTCCCCGGCTACCTGTGCACTCATTGTCTGTTGCTGCAGTTTGCTGAGCCAGGGTCAGGAGGACTGCTGTTCACATCCGTCTGTCCATTTGGCTGATTGCTTGCTTTAGAAAGTAATGAGTAGGATGAAAGGGTTAAATGGGGGGGGGTTGGCTTCTTTAAATTTTGTGTGTTTGACTTTTACTCATCTTTGGGTTTTACTGTTCTCAAATTAAGAGTTGATTTGCAGGGCTGAAGAGATGGCTCCGAGGTTAGGAGTACTGGCTGCTCTTCCAAAGAACCCAGGTTCAATTCCCCACATGCACCCACATGGCAGTTTACAGCTAATATAATTAATCATATTAGCTGCCATATGGTTACTGGGAACCCAACCCCAGTCCTCTGGAAAAGTAACCATCTTTACAGTCCTAAAAGTTTGTTTTGGTGTGTGTGTGTGTGTGTGTGTGTGTGTGTGTGTGTGTGTGTGTGTGTGTGTGTGTGTGTGTGGCTATGTGCAGGTGTCCTTGGAGGCCTAAGATACCCTGGAGCTGCAGTTACAGATGGTTGTAAGCCATTTGATATGAATGCTAGGAACTGAACTCTGGTCCTCTGCAAAACAGTGCTTTCTTAACCATTGAGCCATCTCTCCAGCCCTTGTTTATTTTTGAACAGGGTCTCCATATGTAGCCTGGGCTGGCCTAGTACTAACCAGGCTGCCTCCTCCTGCCTCCTTAGTGCTGTCATTATGGGCAAGAACCACCATGCCTACTAAGTTTATTTCTCTTGAAACACGTACCCAACTGATATGAAAGGCTAATGTAGAAGTCTTTGAAACTTAAATTTTTTTCTGTTAAAACCTATCACTGTAGTTTGCAGATTCACCCCAAATGAGAAGTAGAACTAGCTGTTGTTGCCTTGCTTCAGGATAAGAGGGCCTATGCTTGATGGAATAGTTTTGGGAGTAGTATATTAAACCAAAAGGCTCATTAGATGAAAATATGTCAGGTTTTCTTAGGGACTATTCCTGTGACTCATTTTTAAATACATTATTATTGCCAGTTCCCCCGAGGGCCCTAATTCTTTTGGAAACTGCTAGAAGGGGAGAAAAAAATAGCAACCATGTCAGACAGTTTATGGAATTTCTACACCATTCTGAGATTGATATGTTTTTGTAGTGGTGTTCTGTTTCCTGAGACAGAGTGTCAGAAATCTAGACTTAAGTATGTAGCTGGGGATGGGCTTGAACTTTGAATCCTCTTGCCTCCATCTCCCACATAGTAAGATTATTGATGTATGCCAGTCATGCCTAGCTGCTTGATACTTTTGCTTTTAAGATTTATCCCTTTTGTGGGTCTTGAAGAGATTCCTTGGTTAAGAGCACTTGCTTGTTCTTGCAGAGGACCCGGGTTTGATTCCCAGCACCCATGGCTCAACCATCTGTGACTCCATGGGCCCCAGGCTGAAGTGCACACAAGTGGTGCACATACATACATGCATATACATGCAGGCAAAATGCCCATACATAAATCAAAAAGAAAAATCATTTTCCCCCTGTCACTACTTATATGACCAACCTTAGATTTTGGGAAAAGAATAAAAAATTAGAATATGGACCTAATATGTCCCCATTACTTTTTCATAATTTCATAGCTCTCTGGGCTTTTAATTTTTCTCTTATGTTTCATCTTGCCTCTGAATTATCGCCAGCATTCCTGTGGGTGGTAGAGAGGGAAACTGGTGCTAACTCATTCTAGTTTTCCTTTTGTACCCCCTCCCCTCCATTTGCAGATGGCATTGTTAGAAAGGTAATTTCTAAAGCCTATCTCCCAGAGAAATTTATCCCTCAAAGGAAGGAGAGGCTTTTTAAAATGTCTATGTATGCCTGGTGGTGGTGGCACATACCTTTAATCCCAGCACTGAGGAAGCAGAGGCAGGCAGCTCTCTGATGTGAGTTCAAGGACATCCTGGGCTAAACAGAAAAACCCTGTCTTGAAAAACCAAAACACTAAAGTTTATTTATTTACTTATGTGTATGTGTGTCTGTGTATGTCTAGGTACAAGTGCTGTTATAGTCAAGTGGAAGTCAGAGTATATCTTATAGGAGTCGGTTATCTTCCAGGGTATGGGCTCCAGGGATTGAACTCAGGTTTGGTGGCAAGTACCTCCATCCGTCTTACCAGCCCAGACAGAGAAGCTTTAAGAATCACTAATGGTTTGGTATGGTTCAGACAGGGTCTCACTGTGTAGCCCAGGCTGTCCTGAAACTCATGATGATCATCCTGCTTCAGAGCTCCCAAGTCCTGGTAGTGCAAGTCATCATGCTCATGTTAGAATGGCTAATCTTAAAAATCAGCCATTTCCCTTCAGAAAAAGGTGAATGTGGTACTTCTTTACCGACTGAGTTGATTAGGATTGGTATGGGCATGTGTTGGGTTTCCCTCTGCCATTAGTGAAGAGGGAGAAGGGGAAATGCTGCTGCTGTCCAGCCTAGCTCCTCTTCAACCCCTTTCCAAGATAATTTAAACTTTGTTCTAAGAATGATTGAATTCTGCAGCCCAGGACCATTGGCGGCCTCTGAGTCCACAGACATGCTAAGACAGACACCAAGTCTGGAAGCTTCATGTTTATCAAACAAGAGACACCGACTTCTGGGAAGTTTGAGACAGGCATTTGTGGTTCACACCTTTAATCCTAGCTCTCAGGCAGAAGTTCAAGGCTAGCCTGGTCTACATAGTTCCAGGTAAGCTAGGGCTATACATAGGTAAGCAATAGTCACAAGGCCCAGCTGATTAAATTGTTCAATTCCATCCTTTAGAAGGTGGGACCAGGGGTATAGCTGTCTTAGTTAGGGTTTCTATTGCTATGATGAGATATGAGCAAAAGAAACTTGGAAAGGAGGCTGGAGAGATGGCTCGAGGTTAAGAGCACCAACTGCTCTTCCAGAGGTCCTGAGTTCAATTCCCAGCAACCACATGGTGGCTCACAACAATCTATAATGAGATCTGGTGCCCTCTTCTGGTGTGCAGATATATATGGAAGCAGAATGTTGTATACATAATAAATAAATAAAATCTTAAAAAAAAAAAGGAAACTTGGAAAGGAAAGGGTTTATTCTAGCTTACAACTCTCAGATAACACTCCATCACTGAGGGAAGTCAGAACAGGAACTCAAATAGGGAAGGACCTGGAAGCAGGTGATAACATAGAGGCCATGGAAGGGTGCTGTTTAATGGCTTGCTCATGTCTTGTTAAACCTTATGGCTCCCAGGACCACAAGCCCAGGATTGGCACTATCCACTGTGAGCTCAGCTTCCCCCCACTCCGCCCAATCAGCACCAAGAAGATGGCACCAAACGCTTGCTCACAGACCAGTCTGGTGGGGACATTTTCTCAATTGAAGTTCCCTCTTCCAGAATGACTCTAGCTTGTATTGACATAAAAAAACTAGTCAGCAAAGCTGTAAAGGGTTTGCCCAGTGTGCAGGGGAGGGAAGTAGGGGTAGGGTGGGTGGATCCAGGGAAGAAGGGAGACCACTAGAATTTGAAGGACACCATGTTGATTTCAGAAGACATTTGTCACCACTGCATATCACAGAATTTCTTGTCTTTCTTGGTCCTAAATTGGTTCCTGGCATAGTTTCTTATATATGGAAAGGTCTAATTATTGTGGGATAAATGGAATTAAATGGAAAGCTGAAATCCAAAGAATTTAACTTGTCATGGGGTTTGCTTGGATGAAAAGTAGAGATTTTAGAATTTAAAATAGCCAGTTCATGCCATGCTGTGGTGGCGCACGCCTTTAGTCCCAGCACTCAGGAGTCAAGGCAGGTGGATCTGAGTTCCAATCCAACCTGGTCTATAAAGCTACAAAGAAAAACCCTGTTTTCTGTAGACTGCTTGTTTTTTAGGAGAAAGAGAAACAAGTAGCTATGAGCCAAGTCTGGGCATGTGGTGCCTGTGGTGCAGATGTTACAGATGTTCTCTGAAAATGCTGATAGCATAGGAAGTTAGGAATGCACACTGTGCAAAGTGAAACTGAAAGCAAGCCTGTTGTCTCAGTTCTTGTCAGGATTCTGCTTTCCTGATGCAGAACTTGACTAGAAAGTTCTTGGTTGAGAACCTGAAAGTCTCCCCCAAACCCTTTCTGAATCTTCCTCTGTATTATCTTTTTACATTTCTTTTTTATTGAGTTCTCATGTACTCTATTCCATGTCTCCTGGCAGGACTCTACCATGGAAAAGACAATAGATGAGCCCCCCATATCCGCTGACTTGCTGGAACATTGCAGTTTCTCTCAGGTGGTGTTTAACAGTGTGGAGAAGTTCTATATTCCTGGAGGAGATGTCATGTGCTATTACACCTTCACCCAACAGTTCGTCCCTCGTCGCAAGGACTGGATTGGCATCTTTAAAGTAAGTGCTAATATCAAGGGGTTAGGAAGCAGTGATGAGTCTTAGTTACCCAGTCAGAAATTCTAAACTACAATTCCTGATCTTCCCTCATCACACACCAGTGTGTATGACCCTCAGTTTTAAATGTCAGCCTTAATGCACACCTTTAGTCGCAGTACTCTGGAAACAGAGACAGGAGGATCTCTGTGAGTTCGAGACCAGCCTGGTTTACAAGAGCTAGTTCCAGGACAGCCTCCAAAGCCACAGAGAAACCCTGTCTTGAAAAACCAAAAAGAAAAAAAGAAAAAGAAAAAGAAAGTTCCAGGCCAGTCAGGGATATATAATGAGGAAGTTCTAGGCCAAACAGAAAAACATTTCAGTCCCAAATTAAAAGCTAAATATCCCACCATCCCCAAGTTTTATTATGTGTCCCAAAAACAAATCTAAATGCTTTAAAAATTCTATTTTGAGAGCTAGAGAGATGATGGCTCAGCCTGCAATGGGTGGGTAATTTACATATTTGTAAACAGGCCCCGTCAGGAGGAGGTAATGAGGAAATAGCACCTAGTCATGGGACTGCAGATCATCCATAGATAAGAGACTAGCAGACCCTCAGGGGGAATCCTCAATATCTCAGCACAACCCTAGTGGTCTTTGGTACCAAGTACGAATGCAGGGGGAAAAGTATTTTTTGAGTCAGGGTCTGTGTGGTTCCTTGTTAGTGCTGGGGTTAGAAGAGTGCACTCTTAGGCTAAGCTTCAAGTGTTCAGTAATGCTACGTTGCCTTTTCTAGATATAGTAACAGCTGGAGAGATGGCTCAGTGGTTAAGAGCACAGCCTCTATCTGAAAAACTAATAAGCCAGGCATTGTAGAGCATGCCTGGAATTTCAGTACTTGGGAGACCAGGCAAGAGAGGATCAGGAGTTCAGGATCATCATTGGCTGCATAGCAAATTCAAGACCAGCCTGGGTTATCAGACCCTATCAAAAATAAATAAATAAGCAGACAGACAAATTTCACAGTTATATTCAGGTTGGGACATTACAAGTCTGTATTAGACATCATAGAGTACAAACTTGTAAAGAACATAACAACTTTCTAATAGGTTTTTTGTCCCTCCCACAATAAGTTTCTCTGCCCACACACAGTAAGCCAGATCAAGCCAAATTGAAAAAATGTAACAACAGATATATTGAGCAAAGCAACTCCTGATTGGGTGGGATTTCTGGTACTAGAAATCCGTGCTAGAGAAGTCAGGCACCTGAGCCAGGGCAGGAAAGTTTTAATAGACTGCAGGCAAGGAGTGAGGATGTCTACCACAAACTGGGTTTGTGCTAAGCGATTAGTCGGGGACTTGGGTGGCTGGAGTAGCCACCAAGAACTTGGAACTGGGCTTTGAGCACCTTTCCTTTGTTCAGAGACTCTGAGCAGGTGGGATGGTGGGTGGAGAGAGAATATGGGGCTTCCAGGACCATGCATGGATCTCTGAGTTCAAGGCCATCCTGGTCTACAGCATGAATTCGAGAGCCACATAGTGAAACCCTATATGGAACAAAACAAAACAAAACAAACAAGATGAAGAGAACAATTGGAAGACAGCTGATGTGGACCTCTGGCCTCCATATGCATGCATACACATGTGTACAAACATGTATGCATAAGTACACACACACACACACACACACACACACACACACACACACACACACCGTTTTGCTATGTAGCTCTGGCTGGCTTCAGTCCTTCAGGTTCCCAATGTAACTATGATTATGGGCAGATATCATTATGACTGGCTCCTCAAAACATTGTTACCCATACTATGCTCTGTGTCATTTTGGATAATACAGTTTATTTGGTTATTTGATTTGATTTTTGGCCTAGAGCTCACTATGTAGTCCAGGCTGGCCTCAAACTCACAGAGGTCCTCTTGCTTTAGGTTCTCATATCAGAACTATCGGCATGAGCTACCTTAACTGGCTGGTGACTTGGGTACAAAATTTGGAGTTAATGTAATGGTATTTTGAGCTGAGTTTGTTATATCTCAATTTATTTTTGTTGCTACTTCATAACTGTAATTTTGCTAATGTTATGAATCATAATGATTTTAGAGATAGAGGTTTGCCAAAAGCATCGACTCACGGGTTGAGAACCGCTGCATTAGATATTTTCCCATGTAATAGCCACAAATCAAAAACCATGGTTCTTATAATGAATTCATTCTATCTTCATTATATATAAATAAAATTGCATTTTAGGAAAATGTAGCCCAAATAAGACTTTTCAAGTTCCATCAGTGCTGAATTAGAGCCTCTTGTCCTTGCAGGTGGGGTGGAAGACAACCCGAGAGTATTATACCTTCATGTGGGTTGCTTTGCCCAGTGACCTAAACAAGGAATCAACCAAGCAGCAGGAAGTCCAGTTCAAAGGTAGGAAAATACTAAGTCAAAGGTGCTGAGAACTCTGGCCAACTCTAATTAATTCCTGTGGGAGCCTGTGTTTGCAGGGCTGCAGTCGGAGCCAGCCAACTTGCCCCTGGTTCGTAAGTGAGAGGGGGAGTATGGATTGAGAAAAGCTAGGTAAGACATTAAGAGAAAAACAGACACGCAGGATAGAGTCAGGAGGGAAAATCCAGTCAATTCTGAGTGCCCAAGTTTATTCTTCACCACTCTTATATACCCCAATCAAAAAGGGGAACATGGTATCATGTATATGGAACAGACTTTCTTCCTTAATTCTCCAAGCATTTGGTAACCTCACCTTAAGTCTAATTTCTCATTATCTGGTCTTGGGTCAAGAGTAACAACATCTCATACCAAGCCCGTGGTTATTTAGATAACACACCCAAGGGCAAGGTCAAGTATCCTACTGTATCCATGCCTTTGACCTTTAGGTCTTATGACTTCGGAGAATACTTTTGAGCCATCTTTATGTCCTGACAAATTCCCTTGAGTTTTCTGGGACCGGTTTTGTTTTTGTTTTACATGGGATAGTTCTTAAATTGTATTAAAGGCCACATTCCACTTTCAGCCTACTATCTGCCCAAGGATGATGAGCATTACCAGTTCTGCTATGTGGATCAAGGTGGTGTGGTCCGGGGAGCAAGTATCCCCTTCCAGTTCCGTCCAGAAACTGAGGAGGACATAGTGGTTGTTACCACTAAGGTCTGTAATCATCTCCCCTCAAGACTTTCTATAGGAGTCCCAGGTTAGGGTGGGGTTTAAGTCAATAGGCTTTATGGAATGGCTATAGATACTGTTGGGGAAAATCATAATCATGATACCACTCTAACCCACTGAGAGATGACTTCAGAATACTTAAAAAAAAAAAAAGCATGATTTCTCCCTTCTCTGCACTTCTGTAACTATTCAATTCCCTTAGTTGTAACAGAACTGAGGCTCAGGCTGGCACAGAATTCAAGACAGTCCTCCTGCCTCAGCATTTGGGATTCTAAGATTACAGGAATATGCCACTGTGCCCAGTGTCCCTCTTAACTTCTTAGGTTTGCTTAATTCTTAGGCCTTAGGTTTGCTTCTCTTTCTCTCCTGGCAAAGGCAAACTTAATTCTGTGATTGACAGGCATGAGGATGTTGTGCCCTTTCCCACACTGCATAGCTTCTCTCACTGGCTTATGCCAGTGTCACTCCAGTGAGTGGGGAATCACTCAGCTGCTCCTCCTCCCAGCTTGTGGGAAGTTCCTGCTGGAAGGACTTGAATAAAGCTGCTATGGTGTTCTCTTGCAGGGAAAGGTGGAAGAGATAGAGCAACACAATAAGGAGCTTCTACGGGAAAACCAGGAGCTGAAAGACAGCTGTGCCAGCCTCCAGAAGCAGAACTCAGATTTACAGGCTGAGCTCCAGAGGAAACAGGTACAGATGCTGGCCAAAGGTGAACTTGTAGCAGTGTCTCTGACCCAGCCCTGTTTTCTGTTTGGCTTGGCTGGTAATTTATCTCCTTCCTTTACCCCCTGCCTTAAAAAAAAAAAAAAATCTGTGCCTTTAAAAGCTTGTGTTCAATGCAGCTGTTTTGTTTGTTTGTTTGTTTGGGTCCCATGTCTGTCCCGTCTTTTCCACCCTTCCCCCCCAGACAGGGTTCTTCTGTGTAACAATTCTGGCTGTCCTGGAACTCACTCTGTAGACGAGGCTGGCCTTGAACATAGATGCTGCTTCTGCCTCTTGAGTGCTGGGATTACAGACCTGTACCTCCACCATTTTACACCAAGGTTTTTGTTTCTTTTTTTATGGAGACAGGGTCTCACTGTGCAGTTTTGGCTGTCCTAGAACTTGCTATGTAGACCAGGATGGCCTTGAACTCCCTGAGATCCACCTGCCTGTACCTCTGAGTGTTAGTATTAAACTCAGCCACCACACCTAGCTGAGATTAGGTGCATTTTTGAAAAACATTTTTAGCTGGGTGTATGGCAAACACTTTGAATCCCAGCACTTGGAAGGCAGATCTCTGAGTTTGAGGCCAGGCTGATCTTCACAGTGAATTCTAGGCCAGCCTGGGCTACATAGTGAAATCTGTCTCAAATCAAAATAAGTATTCATGTTTGCCTGCTTGTGTTTGTGAAGAGAGGCTAGAAGGAATCTGACCCTCGAGAACTAGAGTTACAGACTTAAGTGAGCCTCCTTTGGGGGTGCTAGTAACTGAAACCAGATTCTCTGTGTGAGCAGCAGGTACTGTTTTCTCTACTCCCTGGACACTATTTTGATTTGGAAGAACAGGCTGGGACTATAGCTCAGTAGTAGAGTGGTTGCCTGGGTTTGATTATCTAGCCCTGCAACAACAACACATGTATATATGATAAGAATATAACTCAAAATGTCTTTAAGACACTAGGTCTTTGGGCCATCCAACCTTTGGGTCCTGGTACTCTAGGCAGTGTCAGGGGTAGGCTCAGTCTCCTGATATATGGGTCTCAGGCTAGAATCAGTCATGGGTTGGCCATTCCCACAATCTCTGTGCTACCCTTACCCTAGCACATCCCATAGACAGGACAGACTGTAGGTCAAAGGTTGTCCTGTTGAGAGCTATTTGATTACTGTGTGAAGGTGTGTCACTATGGTTTAATAAAAGCAAATTGGTCAGTGGTTAGGTAGGAAGCATAGGCAGGCAGAACTTTTGGACAGAGGGAGTTCTGGGAAGAAGAATGATGGAGTCACCAGCCAGACTCAAGAGGAAGCAAGACATGCTAGAGGTGAGGTCAAAGCTACGAGTCATAATTAATAAGAAGTCTCTGTGTCATTATTTGGGAGCTGACAGGCAGGACAAAGAAAGACTCCACATATGGCACCCCACATTGGGCATCATGTAATCGAACTTTTCTTTGCACCTCCAGCTCACAAAACCAACCGGAGACTTGATTGATTTTAGTGTCTGTACTACTGGTCTACTCAGGAAGTTGTCTTCTGTGCCAATGTATTCAAGGCTGTTTTCCGCTTTCTCTTCTATCAGGTTCACTGTAACTGGATTTTTATTTTTAGGAACACTTATTTTTTTATTTATTGTGGTTTATTTAACTTTATGTGCATTGGTGTGAAGGTATCAGATACCCTGGAACTGGAGCCACAGACATGTGAACTGCCATGTGGGTGCTGGGAATTGAACCCAGGTCCTCTGGAAGAGCAGCCAGGGCTCTTAACCTCTGAGCCATCTCTCCAGCCCCTGGGTTTTATTTTTTTTTTTAAGATATTTATTATGTATAGTGTTCTGTCTGTATGTATGTTCTATCTGTTCTGTCTGGCCTACATGCCAGAAGAGGGTACCAGATCTCATTACAGTTGGTTATGAGCCACCATGTGGTTTCTGGGAATTGAACTCAGGACATCTGGAAAAGCAGTCAGGACTCTTTGCCTCTCAGCCATCTCTCCAGCCCCTGTAACTGGGCTTATATTGAGATCTTTTATCCACTTGGACTTGATTTGTACAGGGTGATAGACTTGGATCTATTTGCATTCTTCTACATTCTGACACCTAGTTATGCCGGCACCATTTGTTGAAGATGTTTTCTTTTTTCCATTTGTCAAAAAGCAGCTGTCCATAAGTATGGTTATATCTGGGTCTTTGATTCGATTCTATTGATTCACCTGTTTTTATGCCAATACCATGCTGTTTTGAATTACTATGTCTTAGTTAAGATTTTGTTTTGTTTTGTTTTTTCGAGACAGGGTTTCTCTGTGTAGCTTTGGAGGCTGTCCTGGAACTCGCTCTGGAGACCAGGCTGGTCTCAAATTCACAGAGATCCTTCTGTCTCTGCCTCCCAGGTGCTGGGACTAAAGGTGTGCGCCACCAATTCCCGGCCCACAGCAGCCGGGAAACATTTAATTGGTGTGACTTAAATTTCCAGAGATTTTGTCCATTGTTATCATGGTGTGACATGGTGTGCAGACAGACATGGTGCTAGAGAAGTAGCTGAGAGTTCTACATCCTTTATCCATAGGCAACAAGAAATGAACTGAACTAGACCTAACTTGAACATAGGAGACCTCAAAGCCCACCCCTATGTGACACAATTCCCCCAAAATGCCATTCCCTATGAGCTTATACAGGCCAATTACATTCAAACTACCACACTATAGCTTTGTAGTAGAGCTTGAAATCAGGGATAGTGATACCTCCGGAAAATCTTTCATTGTGCAGGATTGTTTAAGCTGTCCTGTTTGGGTTTTTTTTGTTTGTTTGTTTTTCTATATGAAGTTGAGTATTGTTTTTTCAACACAATACTCAATTCAGATTTTAATGGGGATTTTATTAAATCTGTAGGTTGCTTCTGGTAAGATGACCATTTTTACTGTTAATCATACTGATCCATGAGCATGGGAGATCTTTCCAGGGATCCCACATGTGACTGACCTAGGCCCTCTACTTACATGTGACAGTTGTGTAGCTTGGTCTACTTGTGGGCCTCCTAACAGTGGGAACAGGAGCTGTCCCTAATGCTTTCTGGCTTTTGGGAACCTATTCCTCACACTGGGTTGCCTTGCTCACTAATACAAGGAGAGGTATTTAGTTCTACCACAGCTTGACCCTTTCTGAACAGAAACAGAGGGGGAGTGAATTGGGGGAGGCAGAGGGGAGGTAGAAGGAGGGAATGAGAGGAGGGAGGGGAAACTATGGTTGGGAATGTAAAATAAATTTAATAAAAAGAATTAAAAATGCTTTTTAGTGTGGAATCCCCTTAGATATGCCATTCTCTGCTTTATAGTGCTCTGCCTAACTAATACAGTATTGTAGTTACTAAGGTAAAAATGCTAATAGAGTATTGCTCTCCAATTGCTGTGATAGAGCACTGTGACTAAGGGCAGCATAAGGAAGAGGAAGGTTATTTTGGCTTAAGTTCCAAGGGGTGAGTCCATCATGGTGGGGACATGTGGCAGCAAACAGGAATGGTGGCAGAAGCAGGAAGCTAAGAGGACACATGTCTTTTATGACAAGCATGAATCTCAGTGAGAACGGGAAGTGGGGTAAGGCTATAAACCCTGGATGCCTGCCCTCAGTGACGTACTTCCTCCAGCAAGGCTGCACCTTCTCATAACCTTTCCAAATCACACCACCAGCTGGGGGAACCAAGTGTTCAAATGCCTGAGCCTGAGAAGGACATTGATCGTGAAACCATCACAGTGCTTACATACTAAACGTGTCTTAAAAATGATCTGCCTCCTTAATTATGTTTCACTCTACAGGAGGCACTAGAGGCCCTGCAGAAGACCCATAATAAGTTAGAACAGCAAGTGGAAGAGCAGAAGGGCTGTTGGGAGACTGAGGTGCTCCAGTAAGTATGCCTGCCCTCCTCTTGCATGGGAGTGGCTGCTGTTTGTTAGTTGACATTGCCTGTTGAAGTAGGGTGTGACTGAACACCCTACAATCCGAGCCATTGGATCGGAAGGTTAAGGTCATCCTTATTACAGTGGGTTTGAGGTCAGCCCAGGCCACATGATACATTATCTCAAAAAGAAAACAGCTTCCTGTTATAGCATATATATATAGGTAACTAACTGATGTTTTAGGGCAAGCCAGTCTTAAGTCACTTACGTGCTAAGGTGAATAGTCATTTCCACTTCCCATAGGCTGAAAGAATACAATCAGAAGATAACCTCTGAAAACGAGAAGATGGGAATCAGAGTAGAGCAGCTTCAGGTAAGCAACACCATGCTTTTGCTAAAGGGCATTTTTCTCCACTTTGCCACTATTCATGATCTGGTAATCCAGAAAGATGCAGTTCATTGTATTGCTGCAGTGCCTCACAGCACAGCTGTGACGTTGAACTTTCATGCTGTGGCAGAATAGCTAATGCAAAAAACTTGCCTCAGAGTGTAAGAGGTTCCAGTCCACCATGGTGGTGGTGGTGGGGGGGGGGTATGACAGAGCAAGCAGCTTACACTACAGCATCCAGGAAGCAAAGAATGCTTGGGCTAGCTTTCTCCTTCCCCCTTGGGAAGACCCAAGCCCCTCAGGGTAGGCCTTTGTTATCCAAGCCAAGTATGGTGTACAACTTTAATCCCAGCACTAGGGTGGCAGAGGCAGATGGGTCCAAGTGTAGCCTGGTCTACAGAGCCAGTTCCAGGACAGCCAGGGCTACACAGAGAAACCCTGTCTTGGGGGGAAAAAAAGCAATGTCCACAGATGCAAAGTGTGCTGTGCTCATCTAATAGGCTCTTCTCAATCACATTGACCATCAAGACTAAACATTATTTAAAGTTACAGGTTATGTATTTTTCAGTCTTAGATCATGTAGGTCCATATATGCATGTTTATTACAAATAATAATGGTCTATGAGGAAATTAATAATTTGTGTGTGTGTATATTATATGCGATAATATTTTTTAAAAAAGATTTTATTTATTATGTATACAGCATTCTGCTTCCATGTATATCTGCACACCAGAAGAGGGCACCAGATCTCATAACGGATGGTTGTGAGCCACCATGTGGTTGCTGGGAATTGAACTCAGGACCTCTGGAAGAGCAGTCAGTGCTCTTAATTAACCTCTGAGCCATCTCTCCAGCCCCTACATGACCTAATCTTAAGGATTATAATCATAACAATGATTTTCATTTATTATAAAATTATCCAAGCAAAATTTTACTCAAAATCCTATAATATAAAGAAGAACTGCTCTGTATTTAGGAAGAAAGATAAAGTTTTGTTTAAAAAAGAAAAAAATAAGACAACTGGTTGTGGTTGCTCCGTTGAGTCAAATTCTTAGGCTGTAGGGCAGAGCCCGAGAGTGGAGTAGCTCTGAGGCCTCTTTGCAGTGGGAGTTGCTAGAAACATATTCCTTCCTATACATTAGAATGTAACATTGTTCCTGGGTAGTTTTATGTCTTACTGTAGAATTCACTATTTTCGTTTTAGGCCCAGCTATCAACTCAAGAGAAAGAAATGGAAAAGCTTGTTCTAAGAGACCAAGACCAGACAGGGCAGCTGCAACGTCTCAAAAATGAGAATAGCCAGCTCCTCCTCCGTTTAACTGAACAGGTAGACTCCCAAGAAAATACACTTTGTGCTTTCTTTACTAATGGCTCTGAGGAAGGTCTCAAAAGACACCTTTACCTCTCCTACTGAATTAAAGGTGTGCACTACACCCAGCTCAAAGAAACCATCTTATATGAGGTTATATCATAATTTTATTCAACAACTAAAAGATTTATCTCTTCCTCAGCATCCTGCTTGCTAATGAGTTCAGCAGGTGTGTGTGTGTGTGTGTGTGTGTGTGTGAGTGTGAGTGTGTGTGTGTGTGAGTGTGTGTGTGTGTGTGTGTGTGTGAGTGCGTGCGCCTGTTCCCAGCCATGGTACTAAAGCCTGTTTCTGTGCAGAAGGAGCAGAAGATGAAGCTTGAGCAGACAGTGGAAAACATGAAGCAGATGGAAACGATCTCACGGGAGCAACAGCAGGAGCTAAAGGCATGTTAACTGTTTTCCATGTCTATGTGGGCGGGCAGGCGCCTAGAAGGAGGTGGAAAGGACAAATAAATTAGGATAACATTCACCTGTTCTACCCAAAAGGACAGATAATCTGCCATTTAAAAGATGTTTCAGAGAGGTGGCTATGTCTAATACATGATGCATGATCAAGGCGGAGTGAAAATTAAACATCACAACACTGTAGTGGATAAGTCTTTCGGTTAGGAACTCACTCCAGAGTTGTTATGACAAACAAGTTAATAACTATAAAGAGCCATACAACATGAAATTATAACACTCACAGCCAATTTTGTTATTATTTGTGGTTTTTGAGACAGGGTTCCTCTGTGTAGCTTTGGCGCCTCTCCTGGCACTTAGTCTGTAGACCAGGCTGGCCTTGAACTCACACAGAAATCCGCCGGGCGTTGGTGGCGCACGCCTTTAATCCCAGCACTCAAGAGGCAGAGGCAGGCGGATCTCTGACCTGAAAATGACTATAGACTGTCTCATATTGTAGCTGCCGTGTATGATCAGCTTTTGAGAACTGACTGAACATATACTGTATATTAGCCAGCTCACTCTTACAGTCTCACTCAGCCAGGTAGAGGTAAGGGACTAGGAATTCATGCTCCTCCCACCTAATAAGTTTGAAGACAGCCTCCAAACCACGAACATGAAAAGTGAAGAGTAGGACAGGATTTGCAAACCGACAGCTCTCAGGTTAAGTCCAGCACATAGATGGGACTTTGAGAAATTGAATTCATTACCAACCTTTACAATTGACACTGTTTCCTACAAGACCACATTTCTCCCTTCTGGAAAATGGCTGTGGTACCACTGAGCCCACATTACTGTAGTATTACGATCAGGATGGCTGAGAGACTCCTGCACATATATGTTAGATGGGTCACAAGTTCTCTGAAGCTCAGTTCACTGGTCAGTTGTGTGCGATGGGGACTGAGCCCAGGGCTTGGATGTGCTAAGCATGTGCTCGCTCTCCCACTGAACCAACACCCCAGCTCTTCTGCTCTGTGGCATCCTCTTCATTTCATCTACCTCTTTCCTAACCCCCAAGCACAGGTGAGGCTTTTGAGTGTTGAAGAAGGGAAAAAAATAGCTTTAATCTATAGTCTTTGGTTTTTCGAACAGGGTTTCTCTGTGAAACTTTGAAGCCTGTCCTGGAACTCTCTCTCTGTAGACCAGGCTGGCCTCAAACTCACACAAATCCACCTGCCTCTGCCTTCTGAGTGCTGGGATTAAAGGTGTGCGCTGGGTGTCAGACTCACAATCCCACACATGCTATGCAAGCCTCTACCTATGAACTACATCCCCTTGCTTATAAAAAGTCTTTATTCTTATGCAAAAGCCCTCTAACTGTAAGGACTGTGTATCTTGTACTTCAGGAGCCTAAGAACAAGGAAACAACGGAGGAGTTAGTGCGAGAGGTGGACCGCTTAAAGGCAAAGGTAGAGGCTGGGAGAGCCTGTTACTTAGAGAAGTACAAAGAGTGTCAGCGACTCCACAAACAAATCAGGCAACTCAGGGCTTCTACAATGGTAGGTGTCAGAGTTAAGGGGCCCAGGAAAGTAAGGGACATGACAGGTTAGGATTTTTAGATCAAGTCCAGAAGATGTATACTGTTACTAAGAACTTTTTCTTCCCAAAAAGAGAGGGGTGGAGTTAGGCCAGAAGCCAACCTGGGCATGGGGAGTCTCTGGGAACTCAGGCCCATTCGTGTATCTCAGGGAAAGTTTCTATAATGAGGAGGTTCGGTGCAGACTCAGAAGAGTCCTTTCTTATTTCTGCCTTTTGAGGAAGTGAAGCAGGACCAGAAGAGCCAACAGGAGCCAGTGGGGATGGGGAGCAAGAAGCCCGACATCAGCGCTGTCATCGGGTAGCCCCCTCTCGATTACCTCAGGGTCGGCTAGAAGCGCACAGCAGTTTGGGCACCAGCATTTAAATAAAATCATGCAACGAAAACCACAACTAGTAGGATTAGCTGAAGTATGTTTGTGAGAAACGTGTATGTGTGCAAGCACACAGTGGGAAACACTGAAGCAGGAGACTAGCTGAGTCAACCGTTCTGGGGGGTTAAGAGCCCAGGCTGTGTACCTTGTGGAGCCTGGGAGAAAGTCCTCCCAACATAGACCCAATTGCCTCAGGCCCCATGGAGTAAGGGGTCCACTCACAACTGACAAGATCCTGTCATGCTAGCTAGGATTACAGGGTTCTAGTTATCTTTACTTCTAATATGTCAGCTTGCCTTGCCTTCTTGTAGTCGCTTACCCTGCCAGATAAACTGAAAATGCCTTGACATCACCATTCCTGCTCAAGCTCTCCAGTATTTGGCCAAGTCCCCAGCACTCTTCCTCCTTCCAGAGTTCCCTCCTCCCCACCTCAGCCTTCTTCCCTTTGGAAGCCAGCTCCTCTGAAATCTACCTTGGGGCTACATTTCAGTATAAGATCTTAATTCTAATGTCTTTGTTGTTGACAGGATGAGAATTTTGCCCTGTCAAGAATGTTAAGTGACAACAAGGTTTTATATGAGCTGAAGAAAGAGAAAAAGGCACTGGAAATAGAAAATGAAGTAAGTGGGAAAGAAGGAAGAAAACCCCAAGATTTCAGAGCGAAGGGTAGCTTGTGTTTGTGATCCCAGCTGGGAGGGTAAGGCACCATTAGCTCAAGGCCAGCCAAGGTTACATTGTGAGACCTGGTCTCAAAATATTCAAATAAGCCTTGTGGTGGTGGCGCACACCTTTAATCCCAGCCTTTGGGAGGCAGAGAGGCTGGCATTCTCTGACTTATAGGCCACCCTGGTCTACAAATCAATTCCAGGACAGCCAGAGCTGTCTCTGCCTCACAAGTACTGGGATTACAAGCATAGAATACCAAGTCCAGCACATGAACCCTCTCTCTGCCCTACTTAAACTCACTTTGCATGATAGGAGTCATCTCACAAGAAACAGCAATAATGGGTGTGGCCATGGTAAACTTTCATTCATTTATTCACCATTCCAAAATTTAGTATCTGTATATGTCAAACACTGAGTTATTGACAGCCTTACTGGCTGATGACAGCAACATTTCATGCCCAGCATCCAAGAAAGAACAGTGGTCCAAGCAAGTGAGTGGGGTTCTTTTGTTTTGTTTTTTGTCATCTTTGGAGAACTCTCAGTCCCATGCTGCAAACTGGAGTCTCCCCTTTATTCCAGCATTTTCCTTAACTGCTTTCTAACCGTGCTCTCCTGACCCTTTCTCATCCACCTGAGTATTCTTGCTACTCATAGATTGACACCTCACTGCTCCATCGATGCCCTTTCTGGAAACCTGGGCTTTGTCAAAAGTTTTTGTTTCTATTTAAATCATGGTAAAGGTATAACAATGATGACATAACAAAATACACTGCCTTAAGTTTTTTGGTTTTTCGAGACAGGGTTTCTCTGGCTTTGAAGGCTGTCCTGAAACTAGCTCTTGTAGACCAGGCTGGTCTAACTCAGAGATCCACCTTCCTCTGCCTCCCAAGTGCTGGGACTAAAGGCATGTGCCACCACCACCTGGCCCCAGCAAATAATCTTTTTTTTAACAGTTTTAAATGGCCATTGGCTATTCTTTTTTTTAAAAGATTTATTTATTTATTACATATACAACATTCTGCTTCCATGTATATCTGCACACCAGAAGAGGGCACCAGATCTCATAAGGGATGGTTGTGCGCCTCCATGTGGTTGCTGGGAATTGAACTCAGGACCTCTGGAAGAGCAGTTGGTGCTCTTAACCTCTGAGCCATCTCTCCAGCCCCCCAGCAAATAATCTTAATGTGCATAGCTCAGAAGTGCTGGCCATGCGCACTTTGCAGTCCCATCTCCATAAGCGTTCCATCTAGCACACTGAAACTCCACATACACAGGCAATAGACCCCTTGAGAATTTCTGATCTGGGTTTTATTATTTGCACTGATGTGTCTGGAGATTGCAGAAAGTCTGTTTCTGGTCTTCTAGTCTCATGCTCTTGGAGTAGATGGGGGGAACAAACCACAGCACCAAGAAAGTGATGTTCAGAAGTTTTCGTTCATTCAGAACTGTAATAAAAAGTGAGACATGGTGGTGCACTCTGGAGATAATACAAGCAGGGTTTTGTTTTTAATTATGTGTCTCATGTATGTGAGGGTGAGTGCATGGGAGTACAGGCGCCCTCAGAGGCCAGAGCCATCGGATCCTCCTGGAGCTGGAGTTACAACATGGTTTGCTGAGAATCAAAAGGCAGTACAATCTCTTAATGATAAAGTCATCTGTACAGCCACAAGAAGCAGGAACTTAGCCAGGTATATCAGCACACGCCTTTAATTCTAGTACTCAGGAGGCAGGGAGATCCCCTGAGTTCAGGGCCAGCCTGATATACAGAGTGAGTTCTAGGACAGTCAGGGTTATGTAGAGAAACAGTCTTAAAAAACAAAACAAAAATAAATGAATAATAGAAAATAAATACAAAAATAAAGAACTAGGAACTAAAGGTAGTTTCAGCTACATACATGCAAGTAGTAAGCATGTTAACATGAGCTACTACAAAATCCATGTTAAAGTAGGAGAAAAACAACTTCACAGAGTTGTTCTCTGACCTCCACACTCATGGCTACACTATGGCACTTGCATGTCTTTCATTCAACACATCTGTAAATCCTCTGTCCTCAGCTCCTGAAGGAAGAGAACAACAGACTGCACAAGATGGACTTCTACGGTGCGTATTTGCCAGATCGAATGAAATCTTCAGATAAAGGAGCTGGTAGGCAAAACCCAGGCCTTGTGTACGGAAACCCGTATTCTGGTAAGACAACTTACCCATTCTGTCTGGAAAGCTTCCCCCAACCCCCACTCTGTGTGTGTGTGTGTGTGTGTGTGTGTGTGTGTGTGTGTGTGTGTGTGTGTGTGTGTGTTTGTGTTTCTAATTAAAGCTAGTATTGCTAAGACTTGCTGGGCAGAAGCTGAGGACCCAATAGAAAAATTGCAGTAAAGAAGTGTTAATTGAGAAATAAATCTGAATCCAGAGGACACAAATCAGGTCATTTGCCTAGAGGCAGCAGACACAAATTGAGTCCCATGGCTACCTTCCCAATATAAATCAGAGAAATGTCTTTCTGTATAAAATATACACATACAAAAGAGAAAGCTAATTAAGTTTTGGAAATGGAAATGCTAGAGGCAGGTTATGCCTCCCAGAAACCCATAGTTCCAGCAGCTCCCTGATGGCCCAGCCGAGGGTCATAGGAGCCGATTTCTCTCTCAGGGATGTGAAGTTACTTGTCCCTTCCAAATGGGAGGCTGCCCCTATTGTCTGCAAAGCTAATGCAAGTCCTCATTTGTTTTTTTTTGCATGGGTTAAAGCAGTAACATTTTCTTCAAAGTCATAACCAGTTCTTTGCAAGAGGCAAGAAGAACAAGTTTAATTTTTGTTTTAAAATATTCTAATGCTTTTATATTCTTTGTCACTCTTCTAGCATGGAAGCCTTTTCAGAAAGGAACAAGTAGAAGACTAAGGCTAGGGAGTTGGCTCAGTGGGTAAAGTGCTTGCTGTGCAAGCTTAGGACCTGCAGTTCAGGTCCCCAGCACCCACATAAAAAGTGCCACAACGGCATGTGCCTCTAACTGAAGCTCTGGTGAAGGATAGTAGACCAGAGCACCCCAGAGATTGCTGGCCAGCCAGTATAAGTGAGCATGGGTTCAGTGAGAGAGAACAACTGGGGTTGTAGCTCACAGCACTTGCCTAACATACATGAAGGCCCAAGATTTCCGTCCCCAGGATTGGGAGGGGCGGGGCAGTAACTGATAGAGGAGCTACTGGTGTTGTGGTCAAATATTGTACAAGTAAATGCGCGTACACACATACAAAGTGTGAGGCCATGCCAGATGCCATAATAGTGAGACTGTCTCAAACAAAAAAATAATAATGAAAATGATGAGGGGCTGAGAAGATAGCTCAGTTCTTACAGTGTTTGCCTAGGATGCTGCAAGGCTTTGATCCCTACCACCTCAGAAACCGGGCATAGTTCCATGTGCCAATAAATGCTAGGATTTGTAAAGTGGAGGCAGAAAGATTAGATATTCAGGGTCATCCCAGGTTACATAGTGAGATCAAGGCCAGCCTGGGCTTTGGGGGACCCCCTCTCAAAATACTAACAACATTGAGCTGAACTTGTTTGCTCACGCCTGTAATCCCAACACTTTGGAAGCTGCGGTTGGAGGGTTGATGTGAGTTTGATGCATGCCTGAGCCACAGAATGGGATCCTATCTCTTTTCTCTAACTGACTTTCTTGCTGAGCAATGGGGGACCAGTGGAGTCAGCGGGGCTGATGAGACAAATGGTGTAGCAGGAGATCCTTCCATGTGTTGTCACAGTAATGACGATATATAAGGCACCTCCAGGTGACTGCTTCCCAATTCCCTGGCTACATAGGACCACAGTGAGCACTGAGCTCTTTTAGAGGACCTGCCTAGCAATCTCCCAAGGGTTGGGCCAGATAGAGGGCCAAGTGAGTAGCGTGTTTTGTGAGTGTTGGTCCACACAAAGCTAGGTGGCTGTAGCACAGCATACCTTTGTAATTCCAGTGTTGTGCTCCTTCTGTGAGACGGGAGGCCATAGGCCCGCAGCCCAGCTAGCCTGGGCAAACAATTAAGACCCTGCCTCAGACAAAGCAGACTAGGACTAGACACCTGAGGTTGTTCTTTGGCTTACACACACACACACACACACACACACACACACACACACAATCACAATTAATGTGAAACAAAGGATTCTAACAAAATAGAGAACTGAAAGCCCAGGCACATTCTGCTGCAGACATTTTTGATGGTGAGTGCCCTCCAAAGATAACAGCAGACAGGCATAGTGGCCTGCACCTTTAATCCCAGCACTCGGAGGCAGACAGATCTCTGCATAGTGAAAGAGGGGACAGCGACATAGAACACATCTAGAACAGCTGGTGTCAGGCATACTGTTTTTTTCATTGAATGAATGAAATCTTTTTTATTCCCCTCAGGTATTCAAGAAAGTTCTCCTCCCAGCCTGGTAAGTATTTGGTTCATGAGATTGATGTTCATATATAAAATCCCTGAGAAATCTCCATTTTTATTTCTGCTCCAAATCCTGGGAGAACCAGAGAGAGTGGAGCAGGGGTCAGCTGGCTCCACCCGTCCAGGGCCCAGGGCTGGGGTAGCCTGTTGAGTTGAGGAGAAGAAATTAGGTTTCTATCAGCATTGCTCAGAGTCTCCTCCTGCAAGATAAGTTGGCAGTGATGGGGGAACAGATGTGACCTGGGCAGCTGACTAAGCAAGGCCTGCCCAGTGCTCCTTCCAGCCCAGGGCTATGTTAACCAGTCCTGGGTTAGAGAAAGCCAGAGATCCTTTCCTTCTGTGAATGTGTTCATGTCTGGAGTACCTTTCCTGTGCTAATTATGCCTAGACACTGAGAATAGGATGAAAAGCAAGGCAAGGACTTGTCTGTGTGGTGCAGAGCTCACATTGCTACTGTCCTCTGTTCTTCCAGCTTGCTGCCATCGTTGCTGATAAAGTCCGTGAGCAGATCTCGAACAAGCACCAAATGCAGATCAGTGTCTTGAATTGTCCAGTTTGTGGCAAAGTCTTTTCACCAACAGAGGAGCAGATCTTTAAAGACCATGTGTTCTGCCACACTCTCTGAGTGTCCCAGCCCATGGGTCTATGCTGAATCAGATTTCACAGTGCAGAACACTGCTGTGAGCTATCTGAGCAGAGAAACCAGTGTAACCAGAAGTCATTAGGGGTTCACTCAGCTGATGCCTTCAAAGGTGGGGTGTGCCCATTGTCTGTAGGATGCTGTTGACAGCAGCTGTGTCTACCCTGTCCATGTCATGACTGCAGCTTCAGCCTTTCTCCTGCAGTGCCCATTCATCCTCGGTCTTCAGGACAGTGCCTGCTGGTTCACAGTAGCTGACCGACACTAAGTCATCATCTTTCTAGTTGTCACACCACATTCACAGTTGGGGCTCAAGTGCATTTGTGCCAGTCCTCAGTCCTAACCCAAAGTCTGGGTAGGAACAAGATTGGAAGTGGAGAATTTTTTTCTTCAGTTCTTTCTTCAACCAATTGCCTCAAATTATCCCAAAATGGTACATCAGCGATTCCAAAGATTTATCAGCTTCCAAAAGCAATGATTTTTGTTTTATTTTTGAAGACAAGGCCTGAGTATAGCCCTGGCTGTCCTGGAACTCTCTGTGTAAAAGAGATCTGCCTGTCCATGCCACCCAAGTGCTGGCCTCTAGAGAGGCGTGCACCACCACACCTGCTGAGCAGTGTCCTCATTCTAGTAGGATGTGATTATGTGAATCTGTATTCCAGCAGCTGAGGTTGAGGCCGGAAGAGTAGGAGTTCAAAGCCACTTGGACTACATAGGCTTTCTCTTAGGAAAAATGGAGAGGGCAGGGAAAAGGCTTCTTTCTAAATACTTCTGATTGATTGGCATTTTCTGATCCTTTTATAAACAAAAGAGTGTTTGTTTTTTGTTTTTGTTTTTTTTCCTTTCTTTGGCTGACCTGGAATTAACTGTATAGCCCAGGCTAGTCTGGAACTTGGCAACTCTGTTGAATCACCTTCCTAAGTGCTGAGGCTATGGGCTTGAGCCACTGCTCCCAGGCTGTTCGTCTCTTAGTGACAATTAGAAATAGTTAGGAGGTATATGGGCTTATGGCTTTCCCAATAGTTAATTGTATGAATGTAAGAATAATGACTATTGTTAATCTCTTAATATTCAACATAAATTACTCTTTTTAAGGACATGGGTTTTGTTTGTTTTTTTCTCGGGACAGGGTTTCTTTCTGTGTAGCTTTAACCATCCTGAAACTCGGCTCTGTAGACCGGGCTGGCCTCACACAGAGACCCACCTGCCTCTGCCTCCCCGGTGCATGTGCCCCCACCACCCAGCTTGTTTTATTTTTTAAAGGGGGAAGGACTGGAGACGGCTCAGTGGTTAAGAGGCATTCCCTGCCCTTTCAGAGGACCTGGGCTCAGTTCCCAGCACCCATGTCAGCAGCTTATAGCCATCTTAAACTCTTTAAGCGCCAGGTCTTAAACTCTTTATGCACACACAGATACATACATGAATAAAAAAAATTAACATTTTTTTAAAGGTGGTAATGTAACAATAACTTTCTGCCAGCCACCTGCTTCCGCCACCACGTTAGGGCCCCCAAATAACACAGAGTCGTATGTTAGTTACAATGCTGTTGGCCAATGACTAAGATTTCTCATTTGCTAGCTCTGTCCTAAGTATCAACCATTAATCTATATATTTTATAAAGATTTATCGAGGACGCAGGCCTTATGCGTCCTGTCTTCCCAGGAGACTTCTTTCACATGGCGACTAATTTCCTAGATTTCCCAGAATTCTTAGCCCCACCTATCTTGCTTTCCTATTGGCCAACAGTGCTGTATTTATCAACCAATAAGACAAACATACATAAAAAGGACTTCCCCTTTTGATTTTATGTTAGGGTGGTGAGATAGGTGGTTACCTGAATTCCATCCCTGGAGCCCACATGGCAGAAGGAGTGAATTGACTCCCAAAAGTTGTTCTCTGAACTCCAAATGAATACACACTAAATACACAATATTTCTAAACTTAGCAAAAAGGAGGAGTTCCATTTATGATCTTGTATTTTAACCTTGAGGGTTAAGCAAAGGGCTATGGGAGTGCAGACTTACCAATGATAGCACCTCGCCTGCCTTCCCAGTCAACCGGAAGAGTCCTGCGAACACTGCTGAGAACTCTGGGACCCTACCTACTCACTGTGACTTTCCATACAGTTTTGTTTGTTTTTCAAGACAGGGTTTCTCTGTGTAGCTTTGTAGACCAGGCTGGCCTCAAACTCAGAGACCTGCCTGCCATTGCCTCCCAGGTGCTGGAATTAAAGACGTGCACCACCACTGCCCAGCAACTTTCTATACATTTTAAAGCAGTGTGGATTTTGCTTACTTTCTGAAATTTGAAGCCTTCTGTTTAAATCTGCCCAATTGAATTGTTATGAAAGCAGTTCTGCAATCTCTTCTGTGGAGGGCCACGTGCATCAGTTGGTCACATAGAGACTTACAAAAACTTTGAATAAATGATGTCATGCTAAGGTGGAAGAAGCTGTAATTCTCCTGCTGTGACTGGATTACATATCCTGGGTTCATCCAATCTCTAATCTTTTTTATTGTTTGAAAACTTCACACATTCATAAGGTGTGATTAAATCCCCCTTTTCCTCCCCTGCAATTCCTTCCCCACCCTCAGCAATTTCCCCTCCCGATTTTATGTGTTCTTTTTTCTGCTACTTGTGTGGGTGTGGGACCATCTTCCAGAGCATGGTAGCCTCAAGGGCTACTTCCCTGGAGAAGACTCCCTCTGTAGCAACCATTCTTCTGACATTGTGCGGCTTTATTGTCACCTCCAGAGTTCACACTTTAGACCCAGGAAGTAGATGACAAATGAGTAAAAATGAAAAAATTAGGACTGTGATTTTATTGTTAGGCTGTGTTCATAGTTATCTTCAGCCTCATGTGGTCCATGGACCACAGATTAGACACGCCAGCTGGACAGCGACCCTCGTCTCTGTGTTTTGCTTTGATTTCTCCATGATAAAATGAAAATGAAACATTGCCACTCCTGTGTCATCCCTTCACTAAGAGAACTTTCACACTCATGGGCCTTTTGTCCCCCAGAGCACCAGATGTAACGTGAACCCTACTCCATCCACAATGGAAATTTGGCAACACGCTGCCCTCATCCCTGTAGAAATGCCGTGGCTCCCTAGATAGTTCTAGGAAGAACTGCAGTTTCCTATATTTTGTACTAGTCAGCTCTTAATTAAGCACTTGAATGGAGAGAAGCAGTGGTGCGCATAATCCAAAATCAGTGGATGCCATTTTCTGGTGAATTACCCTCCTCTTTGTCCCTGCTGCCCTGAGGGTTTCCAAGATTAGCAACAGCAGCAGCAGGCACCCTTCCACTGCTGCAGGAAAAACAGTTGAGGTGTTAATGAGCCTTTTTGCTGAGTGTAAAACAAAGCATCTTTAACCACTGTTCATTATCTCCAGCTGCTCTTACCAAGGTTGAGAAGGGGAAATTATGCCCCAGGCAGCTCTGGGTGGTAAAAGAATCATTCTTAATCCACTGTCCACTTGCCTTCTCCATCCCCTATGCTCCCATGTATTTCATAGTTGTGAGATACCTGCAAAATTACAGGAAGTTTGTGAACAAATGACAGTTTTATCTAAACTGGATTTCTGAGTCTCTGTGGTTAATCGTGGCACAGGTTTTTTTTCTTTGCTTTCTCTATTACTGAAATCTCTGCCTTAGTTCCATTACTTAATGCCTTGGGAAGAGTCACATCTGACTGGTAAGAGAAAACCAGCCTTAGCTGGGAGTTGTTGCTCACCTCTTGATCTCAGCACGGCAGAGACTGAGCTACATCATAAGACCTTATCCTAAAAAACCAAGGGCTACGACTGTAACTGAGTGGTAAGAGTGTATAGCATGTAAATGACCTTTGGTTTGATCCCCAACACCACCAAAAGAAGTAAAATCACACAAAAAAACTACAAATGGCAAATACAGGTAGCACAAGCCCTTAGCAATAGCTACAGCTTTAGTGTTTTCCTAGTCTTGGTAAAAATTGAAATAAAATGTTCAAATTCTGTTTGTTCAGTGATTTCGTTTATGACGGCAGTAGTTTGCACTGAGCTAAGCATATGGTAACCTTGTCTCCTAGCAACAAGTATGGATGAGATGACTTGCCAGGGCTAAAAGATGCAACTTGTTACCTAGGAGAATAAAACTAATAGACTTTGGTAGGGATGAAACACAGAGACTCTCACCTGATTACCTCCTTGCCTGGGTTAGCAACAGTACATAAGCTCAGGAACATGCCCTCCTTAGCCGGGCTCACAATATTCAGATGTTTATGCATTCATAAAATGTATAGTTTAGATGTAATCCATACCTTCCTGCATACCTTGGATAATCCTCTCAGCCCAGACAGCTATTAATTCATTTTTTATGTATGAATAAGTTGTAATACCTAAAAGTGTTAACTCACATATCTGTTGGCTAGTGAAGAGGTAAAACAATTGCTTAAGAAGGAAGGATTCACCAACGGGCAGTGAGTGGTAGCACAGGCCTTTAATCCCAGCATTTAGGAGGCAAAGGCAGGCGGATTTCTGAGTTCCAGGACAGCCAGGGCTACAGAAAGAAACCCTGTCTCAAAAACAAAACAAAACAAAAAAAATGGACTCAGATGTCACAACACAGATGAATCTTGAAAGCATGTTATATGGAAGATGCCAGTCACATGAGCATATCTCTAGAAATCACAGAATAAAGAGATATGGTTCCGGGGATGGGAGGTGACTGATAGTGGGTGTGGAGCTTGTTTAGGATGGGGGCAGAAAATACCAAGTCAAGCATGGTAAGCACACTCCTATAATCCCAGCACTCAGGGACAGGATTGCCACAGTTTTGAGGCCAGTTTGAACTAAACAGTGAGAACCCAGCCAGCCAGAGCTACATAGCAAGACCTTGTTTCAGAAACCAAAGAAAGCTGGGATGAGGAGATGGTGGAGGTGGTTGTACAATTCTAAGTTGACTGGAAGAAACACTGGACTGCATTTGGAAGATTTAATTTACACGCATGAATGCTTTGCTTTTGTGTATGTCTGTACACCGTGTACATGCCTGGTCCCCTCGGAGGTCAGAAGATAGTTTAGGATCCCTGAAACTGGAGGTGCAGGGTTGTGAGCCAGCATGTGAATCTGAGAACCAAACCTGGGTCCTCTACAAGAGCAGCAAGTGCTCTTAACCGCTGAACCATCTCTCCAGCCCTAAGTTACACTTTAAGCTGATCTATTTTGTGCTATGTTGATTGTATCAAGTAATTTTTTTAAAAAGTTAAAACTTGCTAAGCCTACCAATTGGCTCACGGTGGATGGTTCAACTGCAGAAAAGGTTTGGTGCCAGAACTTGGGTAAATTTTGCTTCTCTCAGTACTGAATTGAGTTCTTCCCATACCTTGGGCTGGTGACAGCAGCTTTAGCTGAAAAGGAATCAAGATTGAGGGGGGTCAAAAAAATCAGTGGTGGTCACCATTTGGCCAGCAGCATGAGTGGTTTCTGTTGGGGAATTTCTATTCTGTGGAGATGGATGTACCCAATAAAATCGGGGGAAAAGAGTCCACTGCCTACAAATCCCAGGTAATCACATTAAGAGATCCAGTCTGCTCTGCCTAATGTTATTGCAGTCTCCCTGGAAAAGGAAGAATATGACACCCCAGGGGACTAAGTGCATTGTTTACCCAGTCAATCAACAGCTATTGCGCACCCACAGTGTGCACAGCCAGTACCAGACCAGGATTTAAAAAGATAAAACAAGTCCTTGCCCTCAGGGATCCACAAAACTAATGGAGCCATCTCTGTGCCCTCTGGTAACACTGCCAAAGGAGAAACTCAGGCTGGGGGCTGGGGGGGGGGGCTCTCCGAATCTAAAGGGGAAGGAGAAAGCCACCTAGAAGAATGTCAGAGCACAAAGAGAAAACAGGTCCCTGATGACAAAAGGGGCTGAGGAGCTGCCACATTAAACAGGGATGGATGTGGGCAGGTGGCTGTTGGTTTTGTTGTGTGTGTTTTTTTGTTTTTTTGTTTTGTTTTGTTTTTTCAAGACAGGGTTTCTTTGTGGCTTTGGAGGCTGTCCTAGAAATAGTTTGTAGACCAGGCTGGTCTCAAACTCACAGAGATCCGCCTGCCTC